AACGACTTCACAACTCAAACCTGAGTTTGTTTCCTAATTATAAACTACTTATAATATACGGTTAGATTACTAACCTTCTCGTATAAGAGCATGTTATGCTTTTGATATTATGTTATTTATATGGTACAATAATTGATATGTCTAATGAGCTTTACTATTTAAATATAATTAATTAGAAATTTTGATATATGATAATTAATATATCTTAAACCACAATCATTTTTAGTTATAGTCTTAGTTGTCCTTGCGAGCGGCTCAAAATAGGGTGCATAACTCATGGTTATGCACCCATCAATAACTAAATCTGGACCCTTCATTTAGGAAATCCAGATTTAAAGATGGAGAATTAAAGTTCATTTTAATTTTCCCTAGCTTTCTTAATCGGCTCATATCTTCTTCGTTTTAACTCGGATTTTATTTGTTTTTTTTTTTTTTTTTTTGCATAGATGGAACGAGTTCGTTGTTCACTACAAAATGAGATCGATTTTGATAATTTGTTAGAAAAAAAAATTCTTGCCTCTCGGTACCAACTGCATATCATATGGTATCTTCTTCGTTTTTAATTCGTTTTTGAAAAAGTTTGCACAGAAGGAACGAGTTTATCATGATCTATTGGATCTACAAATTTCTGGGTGAACAAATTACAGGACCAAAAAATACCATACAATATCACCTAATACCACCCTGGTATGAGGTGGTATCTTGTGGTACACAATGTTAAAAGTCGAAAATGACAGTTAATATACTTCTACTATCATGTATTCAACCATCCTACAGTCTTGGTTTGTTCATACCACCATGGTACGTTTTTCAAACCATATGTATGCTCATATTTCAATACCAGTCAATACCATATGGAATAGATTGGTAAAAAATGGCTCAATTTTTTTGTTCGAAAAAATATATCAAAGTGAATATCATTTTGAAGAGCACAATTAATCTGATCCAACTGTGCAAAAAAATTAAATTTCGACTTAAAACGAGTGAGAAATCGTCCGTCAAAGATTAAGGAGGAGAAATTAAAGGCTTTCCAGGAGAATGAGGAATGCTCATGTCATGCTGATGTCATGTTGACGTAGATGGGTTACTAATGGTTACTCACCATAAGGTAACTCACCCTATCTGCTCCCTTGCGAGCAACCATAAAACTTCGACAATAGATTGATGTCTAATTCGCAAAAATATTAATTATTTCGAAATCATACATTTCCAAAACCACATGTTATTAGCATTGCTCTACAAACCACAACATCTCTAGTTACATGAACATGACAAATGAATTTTGTGTTTATCAATTATTTGTCAAAAGCTTAACTGTGAAGAATGCTCATGCTTAGGAGTGAAAATTGGGGTGGGTGTGGTTACCCGCCCCACATTTTGCGGGTACCCACATTCACAAATGTATAGTTATGCTACCCACAACCCGCACCACAGTGGTTAGTGGGTAACCACTACCCGCTGTGGGTAGGGCTGGAAGTTTGGTACCGGTATTTGGGATATACCGAATACCGTACCGAATTTGTCTATATTTGGTATTACCGAATACACGTATTATTTTACGGGATTGGGATTGGGATTGAATTTCATTTGTTATTCGGTATTAGGGATTATGGGATTGGGATCGGTATATACCGAAATACCGATCAATACCGAAATATAAGCTAGTGTGTATTTTATCCTCTCAACTAGACTCTCTCATTCACTACTACGCGACCCTCAACCACCAAAAGTGTCATTTAATTATAAATAGATCATTACATCAGTATTTCACACTAATATTAGTCGTCTCTCAACCTCAAATTCGTCAAATTAAAGATTACCAATTACAAGAATTTGAGATGTTAGCTCTAGGCAACTCAAGACTATTTGCTTAGTCTCTATGCCCTAAATTAAACAATAAAATCTAATTTATATATTTAATTATTAATTGCAAAGGTAATTAATTATGTATTCGATAATACCGATTGGGATACCGAGGTACCGATTGGGATACCGAAATTATTTAGGGATTGGGATTGGGATACCGAAATTATTTAGGGATTGGGATTGGGATTGATTTTAGGGTGTAATTCGGTATTCGGTATTTCGGTATTTGGTATTGGGATACCGATACCGTACCGATTTCCACCCCTAGCTGTGGGTTTGTGCGAGTTGGGTGTGGTTACCCGCAAAAACCCATCTTTGCAAGCATAGAGTTCTAGTCGCCACTAACTTATTTGTTGTTCTTAACTAGACTATAGTTTCGTGGAGATACAATTTTGTACATCGATCTTACTCAAAGTGGAGATTTTTTCTTATTGAGTTTGGTATTCAACTTTTGTGTCAGAGAGCTGTGATTTCATATTTCCCCGACTAGGGGTGAAATATGACAATTAAATATGATCTTGTATTTTTCACACAAAAGCAAAAACATACTGATAAAAGTTACAAAATGTGTTCACTTTTAATGAATTGATTATTCTCCACTCTATCGATTATAGTGTTTTATAAACTAAAAAATTCTTACATAAAACTGATTATGTGTGTCTTTTTTATTTGATGGATACTTTAATTTTTATCCTTGCACTTTTTAAATACTATTATATTATAAAGTTAATTCACTAAATAAATATAATTAATGTGGTTATTGTGGATTTTGTGTGTTAACCGCGGTGGTTAGTGGATAACCACTAACCACAAAAATCATTATTTTACTACCCACATCCAACCCACTACCCACAACTTGTGCGTATGGTTACCCACAATAGGTACGGGTTGGTGCAGTTTGCGAATTATCCACAACCCGCAACCCAAACTTCCACCCCTACATGCTAGCGCCAGCGACGAACAACTTACTCAAGGAAGCACTCACCACACACGTGGTCCAATCCAAATACCTCCTCCCCTCGTACAGTTCGGCTCAAAGAAACGTTTCTCCGTTCCTTACCAAAAGACAAATTCCCGTTTCATCTAAAGGCAGGTTGGCTTACCTAATACCTACTACAGATATCTTAGGAATGACAATGGGCAGGTCCGGGGCGGGTTTCTTGGTACCAAGACCCGCCCCGTGGCAGGTCGGGTCTAGATCGGGTAATTTATCACGGGTCACGGGTCGGGGCAGGTCGACCCAATGGGTATGCAATTTATATGAAAAACATTTGAAACATGTGTTCTTTTATTATAAGACTAAGGAAACAAACAATATTATGATAAATGTAGTTAAATTATTGAGATTTTGACTAATTTACAACTTTATTATAGCTAAAATATGATGTAATAAAAGGAAAATCCTAAGTAGTTTGACTAAACTTATATGTAATTTAGACAAAAACGGGTCGAGAATGGGGCGGGTCAAGGCAGGTCGGGTCGATGAGAGTACCCATGCCCGCCCTGCCCCGCCTACGGGGCGGGTCGGACCCGCCCAAAACAGGCCAAACAGGTCGGGTAAAACGGGCCAGGTCGAAATTTCCATTTCTTGACAAGTACACTTTCCCTTTTGTACATTGAGAAATCCACTAATTAGGTAATTATCAGAGTTTAATAGATTCTCAAAACAAATTGGTACCTGCAAACTTTATGATTCAATTGGTCTAGTCGTGTTTTCATTTAATCAAAAAAAATTGTCATTAATGAGAGAATTTCATGATCTAAAATAAATTATATTTATATTTAGTTCCGTACAATTCAATGTGATTGAATTCGAAATAAATCAGATCGATACCAATTTAAAATTCTCGGATTTTGCTTATCCAAATTTGAAATTCCAGTCCAGCTGCTTGACAATTGTTTAGCTTACACCTTCTAACTCTGTATATATAAATCTCTCAGATAAATGTATGCTAATTAATCATATTACGTTCTCTGAACTTAATCGTGAAATTATGTACCGTCCGTGAAATTATGCTAATCAATTTACAGGTGGCGTGGACTCTGCTTACAAGTTACCAGTGGAATGGGAGGCCAAAAGTCAAAGTCAAAGAATATTTTACGCAAGCAAGCAATACAAAGCCCAGCCCGGCCCAGAAAACCGCTCGATTTGCCTTGTAATTAACCATTTACTGACAACTACTGATTAGTAAATTAATGACAGTGATTGAACTTATAATCCCTTTATGAGGGAAACTGTCTTTTAGGAAATAAAGGTACATTTGACTCATTCCTTTAATTTACTTCTAGTTCTAGGGGTTTCTGCTCTATTAGCTAGATTGTGGTCATTACTTATTACGTTCTGAATGTTTTTTTTAGATTAGTGATAGTCATTACTTCATTCGAACAAGTCATTATCATTAAGTATTTCGCATGTTCATCTTTTTTTGTTGTTGAATCTTGTTCATCTTCTCTAACTAATTAAACGTATTTTTATTGAACGTGTTATTTAAATCATCAAAGTTTACGTATATGATTAGTCTGACATTCCATATCCATGTTGCTTTACACTCTTCACTTCAGGTAGCAATTCATCCATTCCATAGAAGATCACGTCAGTGTTATTTATTGGTTTTCGAGATCCTCTCAATCAGGGGCGGAGCCAGGATTTAATCATCGGGGGGGACGGAATTTTCTTAATACGTTACAGCAAAAGAGGAAAAACTAGTAATAAAAATTATTTTAAAAACATATTATTATAATTAAAACTCAAAACTTTTTCACATTGAGTTCACTACAAATCATAAAAAAAAATATAATGACAATAGTCGAATTAGCTAATAACTAGCTCACCTCAAGAATTGAACCCGTGACCATTTGGTCCTTCTAAATTGCCAATTCTGCTAGGCTACCTCAAATTTCATGTTATAATCTGTACGCTTTGTCTTTTAATTAAATACTTTCTTGTTTATACGTATTATCCTAAACCATTTACACGTAAGTTCGAGATTCTCGGGGGACCCGGGACCCCCTAGGGCCAATGTAGCTCCGCCCCTGCTCTCAATAGGCCTATCTGATCGAGATGAGATTTGAAGCCCCTATTAAACAACAAATTGTACGAACTTTACTATTTGGAAAAAATCATAAGTCTATGGGCTCATTTGAGAAATATATTAAAGTTCAGGGGCCCGAATTAGCATTAAATTAATTCATAAAAATTCGAAACGGCAGAAAAATCCTTTGAACACGGCGTAGCGAGCTGTCGTTTCAACGGCTAAACCTAACCGGGAGTCATTTTTCCCCCAGCCTCAACCACCGACGCCGGACGGGAAGCGAAGAAATGGCGGAATCCGAAACGAGCGATCAGCTAGCCGCCTTCTTCCAGTCCGGCATTTACCGCTTCAGTAACTGCGCCGTCTCCGTCGTGTTCATGGACCCAGTCCGCGTCCTGAATCGCTCGTATTCTCGATTTAGGGTTTCTCCGTCCACATACTACTCCCGCTTCTTCAGTTCCAATCTCGCCGCCGATTTCGCCCACCGTGAAACCGAACTCTCTTCAAGTTCAAAGAAGCGGAAGCGGAAGGAGAAGAAGCCTCCCCTGTTGAACGAGCGAGAACAAGCCGCCGACCAGCGTCATCAGGTAAATTTTTGGCTGATGACATTCCCTCGCCTTCTAATTTGAAAAGAACGCTTCGTGCTAATTTCTAGGGCTGATTTTCGATTTTTGGTTCTGAAGCTAGCTCGGCCGCTGTTGTTGAAAGCGCACGAGTGTTTAATCGGAGCTTCTGAGCTTTTGGGGATTCTGAGAAGTTTAAGCTGCGATTCCTCTTCCATGGCGGAACGCCGGAAGCCAACGGTCGTCGAGACTGAGCCCTCGTTTGTTGAGCTTGGAAAAGTCTGGCAAGCTCCCCTTTACGAAATAGCCCTCAAGTTTCCTCGATCTTGCCGGAGCAACGAAAATGAAGGTTAGAATGAAAAAAAAAAACAAATTTGGGTTATGCTTAGTGTAGTGAGTGAAATTCAGTCCGTCTCCATCCATTGTTTGGTTTTCTCAGGCGACATTGTTGATCAATGCTGTGACCCGGGATTGGTTCCTGTGTTCAACAATTTGGTTGTAAATGAGACTGGTGATGAAGTAGAAGCTGAATTTCTGAGCAGGAAATATGTGATACCTCTTGAGAGTTGCTTCTACATGGTATGTTAATGATGATTGATGAATCCTTTTGTGTTTTGCTCTGTAGTCTTGTGCTCTTACAATTTTGCTTTGCATGCACGATTGAAGTCAGACCTTGGGAAGATTCAGAACCTGATCCCTGGTAATTCTGCTACAACTCCGAAATGTAGCTTTCTTTGAGTTCTTTTATTCGGTTCCAATCCTAGGTTAGAGGTCTACAATGCTGATGCCAAGAATGTCCAGGTCTTGGTATATATCCCAATGGTCAGTAGAAACCGATGTAATCCCTTCTGCTGGTTTGTGGCAGCTGATTCTGGCAGCGGTTTCAATCTTATACTGATCGATCCACCATGGGAAAACGCAAGTGCTCATCAGAAACTAATGTGCGTAACTGTGACAACACTGTCAAAATGCTCTCTCTTTTTCCTCCAAAGTTCTGGACTTTTGGCCAAGATGAGGAGTCAGCAGAGGGCTTTATCTGTGGTTGCTTGTGAATCTTTTTTTCTCAGGTACCCGACTTTGCCTAACCGGTACTTCCTGAGCCTTCCCATTAAGAAGCTCGTCCATTCGGATGGGGCTCTCGTAGGCTTATGGGTGACCAACTGGGAGAGACTGAGAAATTTTGTCCTGGAAGAGTTGTTCCCCTCATGGGGAGTTACTTATGCTGCTAGCCTTTTCTGGTTGAAGGTCAAAGCAGATGGATCATTGACCAGTGATTTGGACCTATTTCATCACAGGCCATATGAATGCCTTCTTTTGGCGTACTGCAACACTAAGGTGAGAGGCTAATGTGGCTTGAACTCACAAAGCAATCCATGAATCATAATATATGTAGAGAGAGAGAGAGAGGGTGAAGGTGGTTGTGAACTGCAGTCAGGAATGGGAGGAACCATGGAAGATCAAGTCGTGATAAGCATCCCGGGTGATTACTCGAGAAAGCCACCAGTTGGAGGTAACCCTCATCTCATTTACAAATGTTTTCCCCCACAGCACAGATGGTTACAATTGGAAAAGAAAGGAACTTGATCATCTCATCTGCTACTCCATTTCAGAGCTTCTGCAGAAGTACGTGCCAGGCGTTGGGCCTCCTCGATGCATCGAGCTTTTTGCGAGGGAGATGATGGCGGGGTGGGCTTCGTGGGGGAACGAACCTCTACACTTTCAGGATTCCCATTATTTTCTGCTGAATCACGAGGATCCTGTTGTACTGCAATGATGATAGACATCATAGGTTTTATGTTTTGTATTATTAGATTGGCGTGGTGAGGGAGACAGACAAGGAAGGAAGAAGAAGGGGAGGCAATTGGGTGGATGTTGGACAGGCCGGTCCAAGTCGGGCCCAAACAATGAGATACGGTCAAATACAAAGACCGGACAGTGAAAGGAAAGCCAAACCCACGTAGAACCAAAAGAAACAATAATGAGGAACCTTAGAAAAACAAAAACGAACAAAGAGAATAGAGCCCATTATCAGAAACAAGTTTTGCTGGTCCATCGTTGTCACTTTTCTTTCTTGGGTTTGACCAATTATTGCAGTTTAGTTCATCCAAGCAAGTGAACCTATTGACAGGTTGTGTTAGCTTCTGATCATTGCTAACTGGTGTCCTTTTTGAAGCACAACGCACAAGTAGGGTCAACAACAAGCTTACTGAGCTGGTTTGTTTATCTCTTGTAATATGCCATATCAAGCAGAATCAGCCAAGAATGCTTTTCTAGATCCAGAAACATGACAATATTCATGTCTAGATCAGAAACGAAACACTGTTTTAGCTTATACTTATGAATTCGTGCTACCAATATAAAGATTCACTTCCAACCAAGATATTTTCGAAGTGGCGAGTAATACATGCTTTGTTACACAAGTTGAAGTCATCAACATATTACGTATTTAGCACCAATTACACGACCCTCTCAAAAGCATGTTAAAACTTAAAACCAACTCCAATGCTATTCCCAAATTTGGGGATAATTTCCATTTTCATCATTTTGCTTTAATGCTACCATCTCCAAATTTGGAGACCTCCCTTTTTTCTAGTTTTTCTTTACTTAAAAAAATGTACTTATGATAATCTTAAGATAATTTGTTCATGTTAATTTTTGTCTACTTCGTCATCATTTTTAAATACAAAATTTCCTATAGAATATTTTTAAATTTCGATACAGATTTTTTTTTTTTACAAAAAATGATCGACCTATTTTTTATTTACACACAACATTTGAAAATGATTGATCTAATTAAACCCGTAATTAACCAGTAAAATCTTAAAAATGAAAAAAAACAAAGTGGCTGGCTTGCAGTTGTCCCGCCCACCAACACACCCTCTTCCCATGTCCATTCCCAATTTTGGAGCACCAAATGGCGATTCTCGCCATAAATGACGACAAAACAGAAGATTGCTCTCCCGTTGGAGTCAGCCTAAGAGTTGCCCATCACATTAATGGGTACATAACCCTCGACTTCCTTCCCTGTGATTGGGCATTAGCAAATGGATCACTTCTATGTTTTCCTGTCCTCTTTAACTTTGTAACTATAGTCTATAAACACTCCCGATTATGATTAACAATTTAACATACAGTAATGGTGCACGTACTTTGAGAGATTATTCGATGATCAGATCAGCTAGCACTAGAAGGCAACAAAACAAAGAAGAAGAAAAGTATATGATCTATCATGTGAAGTGGGGCGCCATTCATTTTTGACTCAGAAACCCCAAAGACGATTACTTTCTTCTTCTTCTTCTTCTTCCTTTCTCTCCATTTCGTTCCCCAACTCTCTTTTCTTCTTATTTTGGGGTAAAGATTGTGCCTTTTTTTTTTGGGTCTGTGTATTGGGCAGCTCTGACTTCATTGTCTTCCCACTGCAAACGTCAAAGTGAATGGGATTCCCCTTTGTTTGCAGAGGGTTGTCTCTGTTTTCTTACAGCAGAGGTGCTAATCTGGATTAGGGATTTGCAAAACAATGATAGATTTGGCACATAATCCAACATTAACCAGTCAGACTGCTTTCTTTTGCTTTTTTGGCCTCGTTACACATATACTTTTATACATTGCTCATTCACATTTGTCCCTTTTCACGCTCGTATAAGATTTAAATTACATCAAGTTGAATTCATTGTTGAAGCTTTTTAGGGACGAGGGTATACGTACGATAGCCTGAGACCGGGTGACCAGGATTGTGATAGAGTCGTGAACAACGTTCACTTTCCGAAAAGAATATTTCCACCCTCAACAAGCCTAGGGTTACAGGAAATTTCTCCCGAGGATAAAACTATCACCACTTTAGGTTCCAGGCTCAAGAACACTAAAGCATACTTAGAAATTTTAGCAGGAAGAAGAGGAATCTTTGATGTTATTCTCTTTGCCATCCTCCATATGCCTCATATTTATACTTATGGAATTGGTCTCATTTCTTCATGACCGAAGCAAAGCATTGCTTCATGAAGCCACGCACCAATCCATTTATTTCATGGCAAATTAACTGCCAACATTTACAATTAGTTTGAAACGTTGCAATGGCATAAACTGCCACCCAGAACCACATTCCATTTCAAATGAATGGGTTTGTCCATTTAAATGCATGGCAAAGGACATGTCCTTTCAGCCAAAATCGACGTTCTTTAACTGTCATTCAAACTTTGTCAAGGCACACGTGGAGAATTAAATGATAAGTTGGCTAATTCAAAATCAATTGAACGCTGGCTAAGTTAAGATTAACCTAACCGGTCCAATAATTTAACCAACCCATCTTAATTTTCCAACATTCATATGATTAGATGAATTAGGTGAATGGTCCAATTAGAAAATGGATTAGTCCGTGCATCTTTTGTGATCGCTCTATCTAGTGAGTAAGCAAATTCAGTGAGCAATTTCACGAGAGAGAAAATTCAATGAAAGGAGACGATTTTAACGTTGGGCTATGTTGATTGATGCTCAGGTGACCATTTTGTGACCTTTCAAAAAAAAAAAAAAATGTGAAAATGAACCAAACATAAAAGTGGTCATTTTGGAAAGGAATTTTTACTAGAAGAGCTTGTACGTGTAGCTTGACATGTGGGAATTGGGCCCTGGTCCAGGTAGGCAGGTACTGAAACCTATCCTATCCAATAGCGTGGTTTCAAAGACCAAAGCCAGACCATCATACAACTATACAAACTACTTACACGAACAAACCCACCCATATCTCTTTTGATTTGGTCTATGATTTGTATCATTAGATGGTTTGATCGATCTTTTGATTTTATATGGTTCCGGTCATAGTATATCGGATCAGATTGAGTATCCAATTCACTTATCAAATTCGTGTTATCAGTTCACTCGTCTATTCTCATCACTCAACGAAATTCAAGCATCAAATTTAATTTTGCTAAGTTATGTCTCCTCCTCCATTCATAAACCACATTACACTAGATCGTTATCGTGGAGATTTAGTTGATCCGACTTTTTATCTTTGTAATTTATTTGGATTTAGTCTATCCAAATTATGCATAGCTATTGAAAGTGTAGGTTTTAAGCAAGAAAAATAGAAGCAAACAATTTCAACTAAATAATCCAACAATCTTCAATTAAAAAGCAAACAAACCATACATGTATTTAAGTTTAACTATACTAGTTTTTTTTTTTTTTTTTTTTTTGAGGAATTATACTAGGTTAATTTCGGTTGTTAATGTATCTTATTTTTTTCGTTGTATTTATTATTTTTTGGTTATGCAAAAGTTTTAAGAATTAAAAATAAAATGAACTGGGACCACACACATGGTAATGGCACCTAAGTCTTCAGACTGACTGATCTCATCATCTTCTCCACTTCCATCATCATCAAACGGCTCACAATAAAAAATGGCACTCCAACGGCTGACTTTCCCCTGCACCCGCCTGCACCCTATCATTTCCGGCATCTCCCAGCCAGTGAGTGAGTCCCAAATTTATAAAAAAAAAAAACGCTTTCTTTTTTCCTTTTCTTTTTCAGACCTCTCTTTCCTTTTTCCTGTTCTTCCTCTGTTCTCTTCTCTCACTTCTCTCTGAGCTAACGAGAGAGAGAGAGATTCTTCTTCTCTGTGCATTACACTTCCAGCCAAGCCACAACAACAACACCAAAGCGCATTCCTCGTGACCAACTCTTCCTTCTCCCCTCTCTCTCTCTGTTTCAGACAACACAACCCTCGCTGTTCTGATTTCCCTCGCCTTTCCCCCCTTCCCCTGCTTCAAGCTGGTGACCAGCAGCAGAGTTCGCCGGGAGCAGAGGAAAGGATGACGTCCGACGGGGCGACGTCGGCGGCTGCGGCGGCAGCTGCCGCAGCGGCGAGGAGGAAGCCGTCCTGGAGGGAGAGGGAGAACAACAGGAGGAGAGAGCGGCGGCGAAGGGCTATCGCTGCGAAGATCTTCACTGGGCTCAGGGCTCAGGGGAACTTCAATTTGCCCAAGCACTGCGACAACAATGAGGTCTTGAAGGCTCTCTGCCAGGAAGCTGGATGGGTCGTTGAAGAAGACGGCACTACTTATCGCAAGGTACTGATTTCCCCCCCTGGATCTGGTGAATTGGGTTCTCGAATTTGTGGTCAATTGGTAGCTGGGTTAGGTTCAATTTCCCACCTTTTTTTGAGCTGGATCCTGGTTTTGAATTGAGTTTGATTTCTTTGTGGAAGGAGTTCTTGTTTATGGTGTTTGGATTAAATTCCATTCCGTTTCTGTCAATTTATGTACAAATGGGTATCTTTCCCTTTTCCCCTTCTTTTCTCAGTCAAAGCAAGTCATTTCCTTGTCAGTTCAGCTGGTTTAGGGAAGATCTACTACTACTTTCAGCTTAATTGCAGCTTCCATTTCCAGCAATTGCAGTCTTGGAAATGGGTTTAAAATGGGGGAAAGGAAAAGCTTTGATTTGATCTGGGGTTTTCCCCAATTGCTTTGAATTGAATTTTTGTTTATGTTGCTGATCATGTTGTTTGATCTTTCTGTTCTGGGGTGTGAAAAAACCCAGGGATGCAGGCCTCCGCCACTTGACATAGTAGGAACTTCAACGAGAGTAACTCCATACTCATCTCAAAACCCAAGTCCAATGTCATCTTCATTCCCAAGCCCCATTCCATCCTACCAAGTCAGCCCTTCATCTTCATCCTTCCCAAGTCCAACCAGAACCGAAAATAACAACCACACACCATCTTCCTCCTCCATGTTCCCTTTCCTAAGAAACTCCATTCCTTCATCTCTCCCGCCACTCCGAATCTCCAACAGCGCCCCGGTCACCCCACCACTGTCCTCCCCGACTTCCCGAAACCCCAAGCCTACGATCCCCACCTGGGAGTCCATCATGGCAAGGCAATCCATGGCATCATCATTCAGCTACCCGTTCTATGCTGCCTCTGCACCAGCCAGCCCGACTCATCGGCAGTTCCATGCTGCCCCGCCGGCTACTATACCCGAGTGTGATGAAGTGTCCGATACTTCGACGGTTGAATCGGGGCAATGGATCAGCTTCCAGAAGTTTGCCCCTGCCTTGGCTGCTGCAATGCCAACATCACCAACTTACAACCTCGTGAAGCCGCCGGTGGTCCAGCAGAGTCTTTCTCACGACACGATCATGGTCGAGAACGGGAGGGCGATGATGGAGTTCGAGTTTGGGAATGGCGAGCAGGTGAAGCCTTGGGAAGGTGAGAGGATCACTGAGGTAGGGTTGGATGATCTTGAGCTCACTCTTGGGAATGGGAAAGCCAGAGGTTAAGTGAAAGATAAAATGCCGGTTGTCTCAGTTCTTGGTTTCCAAAGAGGATAACAACTGCAATACAGAGAGAGACCTACGAAGAACAAATGCATCATACTCGGGAACCAAATCCTTGGGGAGGTTCTGATTGAAGAACTGAACTTTTCTTATCTATGAGTTTCTTCTTCTCCATGGTTTACATTTAGTTTCCTGTCTTCTGGTTTAGTGCTTTTTCTTCCTCTTTTTATCGTTTTTGATGGTGATGGAATTGGTTTGGGGATGATCTAAATCTTTATTACAAGCATATTACTTGTAGATATTGTGGGTTGGGAAATTACTATGAATCTATGATGATCATGGTGGGGGGAATTGGAGGAGTTACTGTTACTCCCTCTCTTTGTAGACCTTTTTTTTTTACTTTGTAGACTGATGAATCCAGAAATGAGGGGGAAAAAAGAACAACCCTTTCGAGTCTATCATGAGATGATTAGTTTGCTGTTCTTGATTACCTTTAGCTTCATTTCTCTGTGCCACAAATTTTGTTGTTGAGGATGACAGTGTTGCTGTTGCTATTTCCTTGTCGTGTTCTTCAGTATAATGATATGATAGTTTTCCACCTTTCTGTTTCATGCTGATAAGCTCCTGATGTCATTCGATCCAAGTTGCCAATTGGAAGAAAACTGCTTCATTGGTTTGCTCTGAATTGGTTTTAAAAATGTTAGGCACCGTCAGCTATTTGTTTGTTTACAAATCTGTAGCAAACAGCTTCATCTTAGCTTGAACTGACAGTAGCATACACCTGTTCATTAAGCAAACAGCACCATTTTCTAACTCCTTAATTGAACACCTTAGCTATATTATGATGGAAGAATCTTTCATCAACCCATGAACATGCCTGGTTGGTGTTTAAGTTTAACCCAAGTACTGTGAAATCGTATCGGAGGTAGAGTAATTTGTGTTGGAACCGTGGTTCAACCGTTTCATAATGTTAAAAATCACCTGCCGGTTTAGTCTCCAGCAGGATGCTTTTACTGATGAACCGCAAACACGGTTTCACAAACATTGGTATAACCTACGTTGTATGGCTACTCCGACGAATGCTTGACAACTTGATCATCTGAGCGAGTTATTCAGTCACACAATCCTACTACTACAATTCATATATGAAGAAGCTCACAGGGCGTTTGCGAGAACGTGCTCAGATGAACGCCCAGCATCCGCCAGATCGAACACTCAGCAGTTGTTAGAAACAAACAATTTACAGCTTTTCATTATTTCGTATTATTGTCGGTTTTTGATAATTGGGGGGATCATTTGGGGTATTTTCATTATGTGGGTAGCAGTTGGGTATTTTGCGGATTATATAATCTGCAGTAGGGAGTTATTTTGTCATTAAGCAATAAACTACAGAAAACCCAAAACCTAATCTCTCTCTCTCTCTCCCCAGCGCCGAATTCCCTCTCTCGTTCTCTCTCTCTTGGTCGATCGGCAGCCATCCCTCCCCTTTCTTCTTCCTAAAATCCCTAATTCTAATCCCTAGCTTGATCAATCCCTAGTTGGTCAGGCTATTTTCCCCAATTCTACAACCGTTAGAAACTTTGTGTCTAACATCTGGTATCAGAGCCCGGTTTCGATCGGTGAGTTCTGCTCAACTCCATCAGGGACAGCATAGAAACCGGAGAATCAACGATGGTAACGACGAAATCCATGAAGGCAGCAGAGAAAGCGGAGAAGGCGAATCAGGCTGGTGATGACGGGGTCGAGGGGTCTGTGGAGGATCTGACAGGGGTGGAGGAACTGAGGAGGGACTTGGAGGCGCAGGCGCGGAGACAGGCGCGGGTGGAAGAGGAGTTGGGGGAGCTGCAGGCGAGGGCTAGGGATCAAAACCGCACCCTCGAGGCCTTGACGGCAGCGGTGGAATCGCTGGTGGGGCAGGTGAGCAGCCTGACAGAGGCCTGGAAGAGAGGCGGGAACGGAGGCGGTGGGGGCGACCAGCCGCCGCCGGAAGGGACGGGCGCACCGGGGGGAGGCTCCTGGCGGGGGAGCTCGGGGGACGAGGAGCCGCGCGGCTTCCGGAGGGCAAGGGGGCGGGCGGCTCAGGCGAGACGGGGGGTGCGGCGGTCAACCCTAGCCGGCCGACCGGGTCGCGTACGGGCCAAGTCACCTTCGGCCCATCGGTCAAGGATGGGCTTCTACCGACCCCATCGGCCCAGGAGAGGGCGCGCGCGCGAGGCAAGGCCAAGATGGCCGAGTACGTGGAACCGGAGCTACAAACGGGCTTGGATGAAGAGGAGTTGATGGGCTTGGAGCAGGAGTATGACCACGAGCCGTGGCCTAACGAGTTGAATGGGCCCGGGGAGGATTACAGCAGGGATGAAGGAAGCCATATGGGCCGAGCTGGGTTGGAAGTTGGACCAGGTGGGAAGGGGCGAGGAATGGGCCGCGGCTGGGAGGCAGGCCGGCCGAACCTCATGGGCCGAGGACCTGTGGGCCAGGCCGAGCATGCGGGCCGAGCCGGGCCGAGTCGGGGCCCGAGTGGTCGGATCGAACCCGGTCGGACCGAACCCGGTCGGACCGAATCCGGTCGAACCGAACCCGGTCGGACCGAACCCGGTCGGACCCGAGCCGACCCGGGACAGCAGCTTGTGCGCACGGGGGGAACGGGCAGCAGAGGATTTCCAGCCCGTCCAGGTCAGTTTGACGAGTTTAGTGGCAATCAGCCCCCGTTTGTGAATCAGTACGGCACTGGGGGAGAATTCATGGGCTCAGGAACTGGTGATCAGAGGCAGAGAACTGAGATGGGCCGAGGACGGGGGTATCAGGAGGAGGAGGAGGAGGAGTGGGAGTATGAAGGGGGACACCGGTACTCGCAGCATTATCACCGCGAGGCCCCGGGGTATGGCAGGCATGCTGGCCACTTCCGTGGTGGTGAAGGGGAAGATGAGATGGTGTTCCGAGCTAAGCCCCCAACCATTGAGTTTCCAAAATTCAATGGCAGGGAGGATGCAGGTCTGTGGATATACTCTGCAGAACGGTGGTTCAAGAACCATCCCACTAGAGAGGAACGGAAGGCTCAGTTGGCGTCCTTCTATTTGGAGGGGGATGCATTGCAGTGGTGGGAATGGATGGAGCGGACCTACGCTGAAGCTCGGACGCTGATTACTTGGCCGATGTTCAAGGAGGAGTTGAGGTATCAGTTTGGCAAGTCGGAAGGGTGGGCCCCGGAGCAGTTGGCGAAGCTGCGCCAGACTGGGACAGTGGCGGAGTATCGAGCTGAGTTCTTCAAACTGGGTAACCAGTGCAAGGGCGTGCCGGAGGAGACTTTGGTGGGTCTATGCATGGCGGGACTCCGCCCAGAGATCGCAGCAGCTGTTCGAGTATTTGAGCCCGATTCACTTCGAGCTGTTTTCCGTCTTGCAGGTAACAAGGAGGAGGAGCTGGCTAGCTGGAGGGGCGTGATAGGCCGCTATCAGAAACCGGCCGGAGGAGGAGGCAGTGGTATCAGCGCTAGTGGAGGAGCGAGCGCAGCTGCATCGGGTTCTGGTTCGGGAGGGGGTGCGGCGGCTGGCCCACCTTCGGCTGTCATTCGAGCGTGACCAAGGCCACCGCCCAAGGGGTTTAGGACACTATCTCCTGCAGAGATCGAGCAGAAGAGGCGAGAAGGGAAGTGTTTCAACTGTGACGAGCGGTTTACCTTTGGTCACAAGTGCGGGAAGCCTGACTTGATGTTCTTGGTGGGACGATGGGAAGATGAGGCGGAGGATGAGATGGCGGAGGAATCCGGAGCAGAGCAAGAGAAGCCGCAACCTTGAGGACAAGGTTGTTTCCCATGGAGGCGGGGATGTTAGAAACAAACAATTTACAGCTTTTCATTATTTCGTATTATTGTCGGTTTTTGATAATTGGGGGGATCATTTGGGGTATTTTCATTATGTGGGTAGCAGTTGGGTATTTTGCGGATTATATAATCTGCAGTAGGGAGTTATTTTGTCATTAAGCAATAAACTACAGAAAACCCAAAACCTAATCTCTCTCTCTCTCTCCCCAGCGCCGAATTCCCTCTCTCGTTCTCTCTCTCTTGGCCGATCGGCAGCCATCCCTCCCCTTTCTTCTTCCTAAAATCCCTAATTCTAATCCCTAGCTTGATCAATCCCTAGTTGGTCAGGCTATTTTCCCCAATTCTACAACCGTTAGAAACTTTGTGTCTAACAGCAGTCTTCCAGTTGTCATTGTGGGATCGAAAGAGCATGATGTGATACCTCTCCATCAAACATCGATGGATTGGCTAGGAGAGGAAGTACAGAGAACTGGGGAATAGTAGGCTGACAGAGCCCACCACGTTCACTGATGGTGAAGAAGGACACACATTCAATGCTGAGAATGGAGTTGAAGGGAAGCTCGTAGGTGTTGTTATATTAAAGACGATGGGGTTGTTTAATTGGGGCAATGTTGGTTATCTGTTTGGACGGGGAAGGTGGGTCGGGTCTCTATCCATTCAAATCTTCCAAGTTCTGATTTTTTTTTTTTTTTTTTTTGCATTCATTTGTCATTTTGGTGCATGTGGCTTGCTCCCCATCCTCTTCTTCTTCCCTCTATTATTCCCTTTCCTTAGTTCTAATGAGTTCTAAACAAAGAATATCCATCAAAGGCTAAACCTTTCATCTTTGATAGAGATGTAGGGCATAGTTAGGAATAGGACTGGAAGTTTGGCATCGTTATTTGGTATATACCGAATATCGTATCGAATTTATCGATATTTAGTATTATTGAATATACGAATTTTTTCATAGGATTGAGATTGAGATTGAGATTGAATTCCAACTGTAATTCGATATTAGAGATTATGAGATTGAGATCGATAAATACCGAAATACCAAACAATACCAAAAAATAGTATAAAAGAGTGGTGTATTTTAACCTCCAAACTAATATCTACTCAGTCCTCGCACATTTTTCACCCGCCCTTAATTGTCAACAGAAATATGCATAATCCATTACCATTTTTTAACGGCCCATACAATAATACAAAGCCCAATGATAAACTTTAGGACTTTGAAAATTCATACGACTGATACGAGGTAGCTAGCAGCCAGCCCACACGCAACGACTACTCTCATCCCACTAAAAGAATCAAGGTCAGTATCTTCTCCCAGTTCGGCTCTCTCAATTCATAATTACTAATCGATTCGGCGAAGAGCAAGCAGGCGACAACTACTAAAAGCAGGTCAAGAAATAGAGAAATTATGCCGCCCATGTAGCTTCAGTTTTCTCATCTCCAAATCCCGATCGACAAGTGGTATGGGAACCAGCTAATTAAACAATAAAATGTCCTCGGCTCTAGTTAAAAGTAAAACTCCTTTTTAGTCTATTTGGTGTAAATTAAACAATTAAATTTAATTTATATGTTTAATCATTAATTATAAATTTAACTAATTTCGTATTCGATACTACCGATTGGGATACCAAAATATTTAGGAATTGGGATACCAAAATTATTTAGGAATTGGGATGAGATTGATTTTAGGGTGTAATTCGGTATTCGAGATTTCAGTATTCGATATTGGGATACCGATACCGCACTGATTTCCGCCCTTAGTTAGGAAGGACGCTTCTCTCAACGTGTTTAGAATTATGTTAGGAGATGGGATTTGACTTTCGTATGATTGTGAGTCGTAATACTACACCTTCTATCGACGTACGTATGATTTGTTCAGAGAATTTACTACTTTCTAGTTTTTACGAGATCAAATAAATTCATCCACTTGAGAAGATAGTTGAAAATTGAAATCTTGAGTGAATTGGATATTCTCATTTCTTGTTATGTCATCTCCTAAAATTAAGTCATCATTTAATTATATTTTGTTATGTTAATCTACCACTTGAATAGGGCATGAATCGCTCATATAAGAACAGATATTAACCAAGATATCTTCCCATTTGAACCTAGCGTAGTGGTTACACTTCACATTCAACAAAAGTGACTTATAGTTTTGAACTCTATCTCTAACAATGTAACATGTCTGATTTTTCAGATTGTTATTCTCTAACAGCCCTTGCATTTATGGTCATGCATATCTATCTCGGTTTAGTGAATGTTGTAGAAATTTTGTGCCTCCAGAATTACATAGGAAGCAACCCCATCCATATGGAGTATATATCTCATTAAAAGTTACTTTTAGCCTATTATCTTGACTTCTATAAGCTCCAAGAATTCATGTTTCAATATGTATGATTATTCTCATATTACACTCCTATAATAATCCATTGAACCCATTTCTTATGAGATACCCATTTCATGTCTACGGTTTGGGTTACAATCATGTGTAATTGATCGTTTCGTAGGTTTAAGTCTCATACCTTTGACTGTATTTTGGACTTTCTCTCTAGCTAATCATTTTGTCAAAGGATAAACTAGATTATCTTCTAACCGTACATGATCCAACCTCACAGCTCTTATCATTGGGAACGTCTTACGGTACCCTTGCTTACGACAAATCTATAACCTCTTTTTGTTATAGTAACGATTCTAAACTTTAGCAATAGGTGCGGTACAATCACAATGAATAATTCGTGGTTTTCTACTCTCTCAATTGTATGTGGTAACGGTTCTCAACTTTTACAAATTATCATTTTCTATTTTATACAGTCCAATACAAATCTTTATTTGGTAAGAAAACGGTCTACAGAGCGCCCTAACAGCTAATGGGAAATGAGTCTGGGAGTTTGACTCCCTACAAGATCAAAGAGCAACCAATGTTCCAGCCGCTGGTCGGGGACCAGAATCGGATGAGTCCCGACCTGTAAAGCATGCCCTGTCGAGGCCAAGAAATCCGCCACCACGTTGCCCTCCCTGTAAATATGCTCGATCCGCACCTCTCAGTTGCGTTGCATCATTCGCCTCACCTGCAACACAATATGATAATGTGGGTGGGTATTGGTGGCTGCCTCTATGATCTGAATCGCCGCTCGGGAATCCGTTTAGAGCAAGATCTTCCGCACACCCAGCTCCCAAGAGCACCGCAGATCCTGAAGGATACCCATTAGCTCGGCGCGGGTGATCGACTCACCTCCCAAGTTCATCACAAAGGCCCCCAGGAAGTGGCCTTGATCATCTCGCACAACCCCTCCAGCCACTCCAACTCGGCTGGGGACAACTCCAGCCAATCCAGTTCCATTCGCATTCCTTCTTCCCCCCTAAGACCGCCTCATCCACTTTCAAAACCTCCTCAATCTGCTGTCGTAGCCTCCGCACGGTCAGCTGGAGATGGGCTGGCTCGGCCAGTTTCTTCTCAAACACATATGAGTTCCTGTTCTTCCATAGAATCCAACATACAACAACAAACAGAGATGAATCCAAACTCGTACTCCTCCTCGAAAGGTAATGCATCAACCAACTCGTCTCATTCGGAGTGAAAAACTTCTCATCCAGCTCATCAACAAGGAAGGCGGACCATACCTCCCTCGCATATGGGCACTCTCGCAAGACATGTATCACTGACTCATCATTATCGCCACAAACCCGGCATGTTCCCACACTAGACAAGTGGCGCCTCTGTCTCTCAGCATTAGTCAGGAGCCTGCCATGACCAACCAACCAGAAGAATGATCGGATTCGCTGCATAGCTGGAATTTTTCAAATCGTCTTCCAAACTGGGTGTACGTGCATGGGATGGCTTGCCTCGTCTAGGCTCTCGTAAGAAGTTTCAGAGAAAACTCCCCGTTTGCAGTATAGCGCCACAGGGATACATCACACCCCGTTCCCTGGGGTATATCATGCATCAGGACCTATTCAACTATGCTACCCGGGAGGAATGCACGTAGGTATTCAATATTCCACTCCCCGTTCAATACAATCTTCGCCACTAACAGGATAGAGGCTTCGTGTGGGAGACCCACGGCGAATGCCTGAAATTAGGGGTGGAAATTGGGGTAGGTGTGGTTACCCGCCCCACATTTTGCTGGTAACCACACCCACAAATATAGAATTATGCTACCCACAACCCACCCCGCAGTGGGTAATGGTTAACCACTACTCGCTGCGAGTTGGTGCGGGTTGGTTGTGGATACCCACAAAAATTTCACATTAAATTTAATAATATGGTAATTAAATAGTGATGTTGTGTTTCTTCTCACACAAAAACAAAAACATGCATAAAAGAAATTTAATAAAGGGTTAGAGAAATTATAAATCTCTAATACAATAGGTTAGTGATTTGAAGATAACGAAGAGGCGGAGTGAATTGTTACTAGACAAAAATCGTTGCATGTCACGGCTCCTCAGATGGCAACAACAGCAAAACATAAAAGTGGCTCGATAAGTGGAGGCGCCCGCTTTTAATAAATCAATTATTCTCCACTCTCGATTATAGTATTGTATTGTTGGTAGCTGGTTGCATGTTGTGTTGTTCGTGAGTTCGTGGAGAAATGGAGATGAGTTTGGGTATCAGACTAACCTTTATCGATTATTCCCCTCTTTTAACGAATCGATTAATTTATCTGACTATATCTATGGACTTGGTTTTGTTATAAAATAAACATATACCACACGGACAATGCTTATTTGATAAAAGTATCTCACATGAACATTGCGTATTGACTTGGTTTTGTTTTATAGAATAAGTGTGTATTTGATTTTGGTAGCTACTTTAATTCTTAGTTTTCCAAGTTTCACAAACTAATATAACTAATGTGGTTAATGTGGGTTACAAAGTATTTTGAAGAAATAAATATAACTAATGTGGTTAATGTGGATTTTGTGGGTAAACCGCTGTGGGTAGTGGTTAACCACTAAACACAAAAATCAATATTTTGCTACCCACTATCCACAAATTGTGGGTATGGGTATCCATAAAGTGTGCGGTTTGCGGGTTACCCGCAACCCGCAAACCAAACTTCCACCCCCTACCTGAAATAACACCGAAACTTCAAATGAACGTAACTTTGCGCTCGGTTATCCGATTGTAGCGAATTTTTTTTATTCCGCATAAATTTTCAAGATTTTTCAATCTGCAATAAGCCTTCATCTTAAACAAATGTCGTTTGTTACCCCGAACGAGCAATTGTTTTTATTTTTCCAAAATTTGGAAGACCATAACTTTTAGCTCCTCAATCCGAACGTCATAAAGTTTTTTTTTCATTGTGCATAACATTTTAAGAACTACAACTTTTACTAGGAAAGAATTTTTAAAAAAAGAAATATTTTTGGGTATACGGGATTTTGGGAATAACTTTGCCTTTACTTTTCACAAATCCACATACATTCCAAAATTATGGTTATAATCAAAGTTGTAGTCCATCAAAATTTATGCGAAATAAAAAAAATTCATGACATTCTAATTTCATAGTACAAAGTTATGGTCTTCCAAAGTTTGTCAAAATCGATAAATTGCTTGTTCGGGGTAGCAAACGAATTTTTTTTGGGATGAAGGCTTGTTGCAGATTGAAGGATCTTAAAAAGTTATATAGAATCAAAACAATTTCGCTATAATCGGATAACCGAGAGCAAAGTTATGTTCATTTGAAGTTTCAGTGTTATTTCAGACATTCACAGCGGCCATCAACCGCGGACTGCGGTGATGCATTCACCGTTTTATCTGTCGCGGTGAATGCATTCACCTCTTTTATCTGCCGCGGTGAATGCATTCACTGCGGTTGACGACCGTAATGATGCCCAAATATGTGTATTTTGGGAATTTTTTTTTTTATGCGAATTTTGGGGGGAAAAACGTTATTTTAGAAATTTGTTTTGAAAACATTTATATTTTGGGATTTTTTCCTGCCCATTTACGGTTTACCCCTGTTGTGCTGAATAGCAGAAAGCCAGAAACCCTACTCTGATAAAAAGAAAACCCCAATAGCGATTTGGGAACCTGTACACACGCTTCGCTCAACAATCGATTGCTGTCCAGAATCGGGTCCTGCTTCGTTGCTGGGAGTGATAAAAACTATTTCTTCCGATCGAAAATGCCGTTGGGTTTGATAATGGGGATTGCAAGGGCAATGAGGAGGAAGCGGCATTCGTCACTTGACATTCTTTCCTCCAAAAGGGCTCCGCGCAATTACTACAAGGGCAAGAACTGCAAGCCGACCGGTTTCTAAAGGTGCGCCTCTTGTCGCTTTCAATTTCGCCACCGTTGCTTTCTTCACTCTGCGTTTTCTCGCTGTTTCTCTTCGCGATTCTAACGTTTGCGGCTTTGCGAGCTGCTCCTAAGGCTCTCTGTAGAGCTAAATTGATTCCTCGTCTTTGTGCGGCGTCTGGAAGTTTGTACTTTTACATTGGGATTTGCTGCTTGTGAGCTTAATGCCGCCATAGGTTGTGTTCTAGATTGGATCCAGGTTGTTTGAATGAGAATTTGGCCTCCTCTGCGTTTTTATTGGTTAGGATGACCATTAGGGTGATTCTGGTCACAAAGTAATGCCTTTTATGTGCTGCAAGTCTGCAACTTTAAGCCACAAGCTTTTGGTCGATGGCTTTTGGCAAAATCGCTCCAGTGCTGCTGAATACATGCATTTCCAGTTGTGGGTTCGATAATCATTTTGTGGTTGCATTCGCCTTAATGTGAAAACCTTTTGCAGGTGGTTATGTCATCGTGCCCGAGAAGTTGCCGAACTCCGTAGTCTATTTGAGTGACTTAATGGTAAATTTTTTCTGCTCCAAATACTCATATATGAACAGTAAATATTTGGGCTTTTGACCTGGGAAGATATGCCTTTTCTGGTACTGAGAACCCAAAAAATGTCTTCCAAAATCTTGTGTTTCTAAAACACTGATCTAGGATTTTTTCTTTGCTTCAAATGTAAATGATGTTTCAGCTAGTAGCCGATACGAGATTTGTATGTCATGTGGAATTTATGTGACTGGTATGACTGTGTGCTTTGTGGCTGCAGCCAAGTCTACTAGATGCTGCAACTGAATGAATTAATACTGTTCCATGCTGTTTATTTCCGGTCACTTATCAAACTCAGCTGTTGATTTCTTCTATAAACTTATGTATAGATGTTCCAAATACCAATTGTAGCTAAAGGTGTTGCCTTCTGTAGAAGGGTTAGAACTTAGAAGGCTGCAGGTTAAATTTTTGTACAGGTCATTCAGAGACTAATCGTTGAAGTTGGCTGATTTGAGAGTGGTTAGGTTGATGTAAATGGGTGAGTGATTTTAAGATGTAGATTTGACTTATTATTGCTTGTTAGGCGCTCTATTGAGAAGGGGAAAAAATTGAAGACTGATTATAGTCCTAATTGTCTTTCGACCACGTAAGTTCTTTTTAGATTTTAGGTTAATTTCAGTGTAACTATATATTTACCATCCATTGGGGATCCGAGACTGAAATGAACATGAAATTTTATGGCATGATTCTAAAATAGTTTTGGCCAGGGAATAATAGAGGCTGCATGGTTAATATTTTAGAGGCCATTCAGAGACTAATCGTTGAAGTTGGTTGACTTGAGAGTAGTTAGATTGTGGTTACTGATTCAAATGAGTGATTAAGATGTAGATTTGAGTTATTGTTTCTTCGGGAAACATGTCGATCTTTTTAGTTGAAGTTATCTGAAAGTTGTGGCTATGAGCTCCCTATTGCAGAAGTGCAATTAGATTGAAATATTGCTTTATTTCAAAGGAATGAGTACTTGCTCTTGTTCATCTATTATGCAGCTATCATAGGAATCCTTAGCTATTAGATACAGGAAGAAGCATGTGAAGAGGATAATTTTTACCACCAATCCTACATGGATATTCTCCCTTTAGCTGTGTTTTCATCTCTCAAGTTTAGTATTTCAGGATCTTTGGAGGTCAGACTGATTGCTAATGAAGATTTTGTAATTTTTTTTTCCCAACTTTCAGTTCAAACCATATGTATCTCAGTGCCAAATAGAAGCTAAAACAACAGAAGCTTGCGAACCAGCGAACTAAAGAAACTTGGCGATCGAGGAGCTGAAAGTCTTATGCTCGCCACAAGTTGAGTCAATTCACAGAGAGTAAAACAGATGCCGTTGTGATTCCCTTAGAATGGTGAAAATGAAGTTCAGTTTTTTCCCCCTCCTCTTAGTCCTTTGGCCATGACTGGTTTAGTGAACATTTTTTGAAAGTCCACGTTCATTGATGGTGAAGAAAGACACATTCAATGCGAAGAAGGGAATTGAAAAGAAAGTTGTTGGGCAATCTCCTAAATGCTGTCATCATTTAGTTACATTTTGCATGCTCTAAACAAAGATGGTGTTCGATAAAGGTAGGAAAAAAAATCGTGGTTAAATCCCAGGACAAGATGAGCGATAAACTGTCAAGTTCAATTAAATCTTCAATGATACCAAGGTGCCCTTCAAATTTACAACAAATCAAGTATTCGGACTACCAATCAAGTTAGCAGAAAAGGTAACATTAAGTGGGAGAAGAAAAACAAGCTGCAAATACATCCAATTGAGAGACTAAATGCTACATTATAAATCTCAGTATTGTTGCTGCAATATATCAATATGGACATGACAGTGTTTCAGGCAGATTCAGAAGCTTCCATCTTATTGTTCTCCACATTCACATTGCATTCATGGTACCTGAAGCATGCCGAGAGATGATCGTTCACAATCCCAGCTGCCTGCATGAACGAATAAACCACAGTAGGGCCAACACAACGAAACCCTCTCTGCATCAGATCCTTGCTGATCACCTCTGCTTTCGGGGTCTTCGCTGGAACTTGACGAGCATATCGAAACCCGTTCCTCAATGGCTGCTTGTTCACGAACCGCCATAGGTAGCTGCTGAACGAACCAAACTCTTGCTGAACCTGCAGCAGAAAAAGACGCGGGGTGATAAATCATAAATCCCATTGCACAGTAAGAGAGAGCTTAGGTAGATCGAAACCGAATCAGCATTGATACCTTGAGAATCGATTCAGCATTCCCAACTATGGCACGAAGCTTTTGTTCTGAGAGCAAGAGATGGCCGTTGATTCTCAGTGACAGAAGCTTCTTCTCGGTGAATTGTGCAATGGATGATGGATCGAAGTCATCAAAAAGCTTTCTGTCAAACCCAAACGATTAAGCTGAAAACCTTAATACTCCAAAATCCATCTCAAAATAGTGGCCAAGAACATTAAATTTCAGTTGAGTTGCCTACCTGAATGTGAGTCGAAGATGGAGGATTTCAGGCCAGCTCATTTCTGCTAACGCCTGTGAAAACACCAGCAGCTCCAGCAATCTCCGATCGTCGTATACAGGAACTCCCCATTCTTCATCATGGAAACTAGCATATAGTGGATCTGTGTAGGATTGTGCGTTACAAAAATCGATCTTTCTGGGGGGAAATTTGGGTGTTCTTTATCTTTCTAGGGATTTGATTCGCACAATTTTCCTTCGAATTTCATGAAATTGAAGGCAGAATTCGTTAACAAGTGAAGCGAAGTATTACCAGAATTGGGAGTGATCCAATCGCATCTCTTCGCGGGGCCTTCCTGTCTCGTCGGCGAATGCTCCACCGCCAATTCGCCGCCACGGCGGCGAGGAGAAGCAGAGGATTTCACTTGACGCTTCACATTGCTCTTCTTCCCGCTCAAACCGGAACCTGCAGAAGATGACGACGACGAGTCTTCGGACGAGGAAACGCTGTCAACAGAAAAATTGTTCTTCACAGCCGTCGGCGAAACCTTTGAGGCTAACACCGTCACCGGCGGCTGTCTTTTAGACTTCCCCTGTTGCTGTGGGATCTTCTTCTGAACCTCCGTTTTCCGTTTCGACTCGTCCGGATTCGGAACCCTAACTCGGTTACCCGCCGGGACTAGAACTCCCCGCGGTTCCGCCCGTGCCTTGGCCGGGATATGAAGCTTGGCAACCGCCGACATTTTGCGCCGACCGGGAAGTGGAAGTCCTCCGATTCCGATGGAGAGACGAGATCTCAGAGCAGAGAAGGAAGAAGAGAGACTAGTGAGCTGACAAGGGAACGGGTTGCCGCTCTGAAGGGTTTTAAACAGAAAAAAACAAAAGCAAACGGGACGGCGTTTTTACGGCTAGAAATACCGGCTGTTGCCGGTGGCCGGGTACACGTGGCGGTTGTGGTGAAGGGTCTGGAAGACTGAAAACTAAAGTAACAAGTTTGCGATCTTTTTTGTGGAATTTGCCCGATAAGGACCCCGGACCCGAGAAGTAATTATGATGGATTAGAGTTGTGCTAATGATGATTAAGGTTAAGTAATTTTGGAGGCACTGAAATTGGGGAATGGATCAGGTCAGTAACCTTATGGTGAGTAACTATGAGTAACCCGTCCACATCAGCATGACATCAGCATCCTCTCTCTCCTGGAAAGCCTTTAATTTTCCCCTCCTTAATCTTTGACGGACGATTTCTCACTCGTTTTAAGTCAAAATTTAATTTTTTTTGCACAGTTAGATCAGATTAATTGTGCTTTTCAAAATGATATCCACTTTGATATATTTTTCGAACAAAAAAAAATTAAGCCATTTTTTACCAGTCTATACCATATGGTATTGACTGGTATTGAAATAAGAGCATACCTATGGTCTGAAAAGCGTATCATGGTGGTATGAACAAACCAAGACGGTAGGATGATAGAATACACGATAGTAGAAGTATATTAATTGTCATTTACGACTTTTAACATTGTATACCATAAAATACCACCCCGTACCAGGGTGGTATTGTATGGTATTTGGTGGTATTTTTTGGTCTTGTAATTTGTTCACCCAGAAATTTGTAGATCCAATAGATCATGATGAACTCGTCCCTGCTGTGCAAACGTTTTCAAAAACGAATGAAAAACGAAGAAGATACCATATGGTATGCAGTTGGTACCGAGAGGCCAAAATTTTTTTTCCCTAAAAAAATATTGAAAATTGATCTCATTTTGTAGAGCACGATGTACTCGTTCCATCTGTGCAAAAAAAAAAAAAAAATCCGAGTTAAAACGAAAAAGATATGAGTCAATTAAGAAAGCTAGTGAAAATAAAAATGACCTTTAATTCTCCATCCTTAAATCTGAATTTTCTAAATGAAGGGTCCAGATTTGGTTATTGATGGGTGCATAACCCATGGTTATGCACCCTATCTTGAGCCGTGGTGGCAGAATATTAACTTAAGTAGTTATGGTGTGTGGTCAACGTCTCTAATCATCATTTGAGGTTGGCAGTGAAATGTCAGAAAGTTTGGAAATAGTTTTACTAATTATCCCTAGGAAATTGTAATGATAATAGAGGAAAGTAGCATGATTAATGAAATGATTCTCTTTATACTCTTTAGATCGTTACACCATAAAAAAATGGTCTTATGATAATGTGAAGATGAGAGCATCCACCATATTATGAGTTTGAACCTTGGGCCATAACCAACGAATTTTTTTCTCTCATATAGTATTTGCATTGACTATTACCTTGTTTTAATCATAATATTGTTTTTTTTTTCTTCGTGAAAAACATTTAAAAATTTCGAATTTAACTTCGGTCTATATAGGTCAACAAATTTATCTATGCCATGCCAACATGGGAACATGATTGTTGTTCGTCCATATTAAACAAGAAACGGATAAGGTAAAAGAGCAAAGCAAATGTTGGGGTTGCTGTGGAACCGGCAGTTGGCGGTTGGAGTGAAGCTTTGGCTGGCTGGCCGGAAGTCGCAGTCTGGAGTGGGTACTGTAACGGTCGGTCGTCTTTTTGTGTTGTTGCCATTGGCATAACATACCGTTAAGGGAAAGTATCCCATCCCCAGAAAGCAAACACAAAGTTAGTTCCCCACCATACCCACATCACACAACCAACAACCCAACACAAACATAAACACAACCAAAAAGAGACGCACAGAAACAAACGCCACAAAACGACGGCCGACGGGAGTGGATAACTAACGGCTCTCTCCTTTCTCAATTCCTTAACAAGGTAAACCACCAATTCTGATCTATGACTAACTCCAACTCTTGTTTGCAAATTTGGAGAAAGGCAACAATTTGTCTTTTTTCATCTCCAACCCATCAAAAATTTTGCTTCCAAATTTGGAGAATGGAGTGTTGGGGTGGATAGGTTGAAGCCTCCATGGAGAAAGTGGGTAAAAATACAAGCTGGAAGGGGGACCCCGCGTGCAGGGGAGGACCACCCGAGGGGGGCGCGCCTGGGCCGCACGCGCTCGGAGGAAGGGCTTCCGCCCGCGCGCGTGCGGCCCAGGCGCGCCCCCCGCGGGTGGTCCTGCCTGCACGCGGGGTCCCCCTGCTGCTGCATTTTTTTTTTCAATTTTTGTTTGTGTGGTTATTTGTGTGTGGTGTGTTTGCGTTTTAGTTTGTGTGGTGTGTTTGCGTTTTAGTTTGTGTGGCTGTGTTTGCGTTTTAGTTTGAAAGAAGTAGTGACAATAAAACGGTCACATTGCAACGGACACATTTTAACGGCCATAAAACGGTCATATTTTTTTTTTCTATATAATGAGTAACTTCTCATGGTTTTTCTGCACTCATCCTCAAATCAATCTCTCTCATTCTCATCTATTTATCACAAAAAAATGACTAATTTTGCACAAAAAAAAATTATCTCGGAATTAAAAAAAAATTACATCGAAAATTTTGTTTCACAAGTAATAACAAACTATAAAAAAATTAAAGTGAATTACAAGAATGATATTGTAAATAAGTATGGATTATGGAAATTAAATCAAAAAAAGATGTGGGATGCTAAATTTGGAAGCCTATAGGGTTGGAGCAAAAAAGTGTTTTGGGGAGGCAAATATGCACATTTGAGAGCTTGGGAGGCTAAATATAGCTTTTGGGGTTGGAGTTAGTCTAATTGCCAAACACTTGCAATGTTATTGTACACAAAACAAATGCAGCATGCTGTGAAACTTTGTTTTATGATTTACTGAGCATGTAATGGGTTTGATCTCGCCAAATTAGCTGAACGGAATTTCGGTGATACCAAGCTTAGTTTCGACCATCATATTCACTAGATCGTATATTTAATTTATTGATTTTTCACGGTGTCTTTTTTTTTTCTCTCTTCAGATTGACGATTTTTTTTTAGACTCATCCTCTTTCTCATCATCATCCTCCTCCTCATCATCATTTTCGTCATCCTCCTCCTCCTCTCCCTCATCATCGTCGTCGTCGTCATCCTCCTCCTCCTCCTCCTCCTCATCATCATCTTCTTCGTCATATACTAGTTTAATCCCACAACTCTTGATCATGAAGTCCTGCAACTCCACCTCCCTCCATGAGCAGTAGTCCCCCACCATTTCCGCAGCACACAAGGAAAAATTAATCCTAACATTCCCTTCCTCCATAGCTTGATACTTACACATGTTTCGACTATCGTACCACAAGAACACCCCGCCGAGTTGCTCGCATCGTGTTACATCTCGTCGAACAAGACAGCTAGAGAAATGACGACGCTCGTCGTCGTGACCACGATCTTCTTCATCCTCCTCCTCGCCGTCGTCGTCGTCGATCATGCTCCATGAACACTCTAAATTGTACAAAGCCTTGTTGACGGTAACAAAGGACGAGGAGTCAAGGAGTGCCCAACATATAACACCCTTTAACTTCCAAGGGTGATACAAATCCACCATCACCGAGCCTCCCGAGCTCGTTTCTCCCCCAACCATACATTCCGCCCAACCTACACTTTCTTCCGGTACAATAAGAAGCGGGCAATGTAGATCATAACGTGGAACCGGATTCACAACATCACGGATAAACTACATTAATGCAACATTGAAAAAGTTGGAGAAAATTATATTAATCGGTCAAACCTTAATCAATTAGAATATAGCAATCACCTACATTTAATTAGAATTGAATCCATTGTACATACCTTATATAGAAGACGAATGGACACGTCGATATCCAAGTTCGGACAGTTACCCAACCTCCATTGACTTCTAACAAGATCGTGTTCTCCAGCGTATGATATTGTCTCAAGTGACTTGCAATTGTATGCATTCAGACGTTTCAAATTCCAAGGAAGGAACGGTAAATGTCGCAGTTCACCACAATTAGACACGTCCAGCCATGTCAAACTATATAGTAGGCAGATACTGTGAAGCCTAGCAAGTCTGGTACAACCATCTAGTATCAAAATTTTCAGAAACGTGAGATCACCAATCGCGTAGGGCAAATACTCGACCGACGTACCACTTAGGTCAAGCATCTCCAAATGGACTATATTGCTAATGCTATCTGGAATCCACCTTAAGTTTATGCATCCACTCAAATCGACTTCAACTAGGGATTCCATCGCTTCCAAAATCTCAGGGAATTCCTCTAGTCGGATGCATTTCGAAAGATTGATTCTTTCTACGCATTTCAACTTACAGATCTCGGTCGAGAGGTGAGTTAGCTGGTCATTGGACGTGAAGAACAATTCCTTTAACTTGAGGAGGAAGTCTACTTCTTTGATTAGGGTTTTGCCCAGACGCAATCCCTCGAGGCTTGGGATGACTGGGAATTCTGTCATCATTGAGCACTCATTACATCCAAGCTGCAAGATCTGCAAGCGGCAGAGGAAATCAGGGATCTTCTTGATTCTGGTACCGCTTAGGGATAATGTTTGGAGACTTGGTAATACTGTTTCTATGTCATGATCATCGTCGTCGACGTCGTTCAAGTGATCTTCTAAGTTGTTTAACTCTAGACTTATGCAGTACCACAACAAAATCTCTTTCAGCTTTGGGAGGTATAGGATTGAGGGTGGAAGCTCGAGTAAACTTTGGCAATACGAAAGATCTAATCGCTCGAGCTTCTTGGCTGTGCACACATTTGGCAACTTCTTGAGGTATATGCATCCACCTAGATTGAGAGATTTCAAATTCCCCAACTCCTGCATCATATATGTGTAGATTTATTATCATGAGGTAAGGAGAGACTAGACACTATGCAAGAAAAAAACTTTTTGCGATTGAAAAACTAGTTGATAAAATATACAATTGATCGTATTTTCGTGACCACTATTTGGTTGC